TTACTGTGCATTTAGGTGACCATGATGAGAGAGACAGAGTCTGGCTGGCTCAGATGCTGGCAGTTCTCGCTGCAGTCTACCGGTAGCGTCTCCTTTCAGGCCAGGATTGACGAATGTCACCCAGCAGTGTCTAAGTTTGTGGTAAAAGGCTTGCACCCATTTGTCACAGCAGATGCCCCCAATTTTCGGTAAGTGAATGTGTTTAATTGTAGGCAGGGACATTACTGGATATTCTTGTGTAATTGCTACAGAATAATTGATGTTATACTTTGTTATTGCTACAGAAGAATATTTATTTTATTATTTTACATTTACAATTTTTTTTCTTGGGGACCCTGTGACACCCCATTGAAGAGCCGTAGGCTGGGGATCTCTTAAGATCTCACTGCTGGGTTTGTAAGGCCATGTTACTCCTAAATTTCTATCTTGTTCAAAGAGAAGATATAAAACAAAGTTCTAAGCTAATCGACCTTAGTGTTCTCCTTTTTAAAAAAAAGAATCAATAAGAGAATCGATAAAGAATCGAATCGTTAAACAGAATCAAAAATGGAATCAGAATCGTGAAAATCTTATCAATACCCATCCCTATTACTCACCCCCCGCCTGCTGGATCTTTGTGGTGAAACGGCTGATTGATGACGCCCATGATGGGCTCGCCTGTGCTCCGCAGGTAAACGCCGATGAGAACCAACGCACAGTGCAGACCCGATGGAGACAAGCGGCCTTCCTCCAGCTCCTTCTCTCGGCCCTGTATGTACTGGCTGGTAGCATCTAGAGTATTTAAAAAAAAAAAAAAAAAAAAAAAAAAAAAAAGCACAATAAAGACAAACTGAGCTCCGACATGAATGCTGAATGGGATTGTGGTAAGAGGTGAGCTCTTCACCTATGGGATCGATCCAGATGCCGAGCTCAGAGGGGCTGAGGGAAACAGTCAGGCCATCAGTGTTTGCCTCGACGGTCGCCGGGTCTTGGTGGATGGCTTTAGCCAGCAGAGAAGCTGCTGTGTGGTCACCGTCAAGCACGGTGGCCAGCAACGCCGCCGTCTCCTCCTCTGTGCTACAAACCGTGACTATCACACTCTCTCCTGGTGGCAGAGACAGAGACTTTGATTACTTTACAACAAACCACTTCAAATGTTTCTACTGTGCAAGGTGCAGCCATGGTAAATATTTAGACAGCAACATATTAATGTCTTCACTATGTACTCATAGATTAAAGTAAAGATCATTTGCCAAGTGTATATTTAGCTCCTCTAGATTTTAATATGAAGGTGGGCTGATTATCATCATGGTTATTATTACACAGCACATCTTAATGCTGGATGTTATATTTATGAATCTGCACTGCTGAGACAAAAGCACAGCTGGGGCTCCCCCAGAATAATCCTGAGGCACACCTGACAAACTCATACGCAGGACTCATTAGAGTGCATGGAGGATTCAAGGTGTGCACATCTGTAACAGCACAGCATTGGATCAGATTGTCCTGAAGTAGACACTGTTGCTCTTAAAATGCTTTTTAGAAACAAATATTATTATTTTTTAACAACTTGTAGACATCAGTGGTTCCAATTTTGGGAATTTTAAGGTGCCCAGCCCAGCTTTAAGTAACTCTATCTAATGTAGGGAAGGAGTTCTAGATCTGGCAGGTGAAAAGAGGCATTAGTGATGCTCAAATTAGACTACAAAAGTGCCCTAGAGCAAGAGCTGTTGTTCTTGGCCCAGGGTGTAGTGTGTTATGTGTAATATTAAGAAATTACCAAGCCCGTTTTCAAACTTGTTAGACTCCTCGCCATGAATGAATTCAGCCATGTCAGGGAACTACAAAAGAAAAATGACATAATTACAATGCAACATGCGGTCTGATCTTGGCCGGCTTCACAAAGACTTGTCCTTACCTGAGTGCCAACATCATGACGGATCATCTCCTGAATCACCACATCGGCGAGCGTCTTGAAGTCTTGGACGAACTTCTTGTTCTTGTCATCTCCGGTCTTTTCTTGCACAAGGAGCTGGAAGAGGGGAGCCTCCTGCCTGCAGACCCGAGCCACGTTAGCAGCCTTTTCAGCCACCTTGAGCAGCAGCCTCAGCAGATCAGCCATGCCTGAACAGAGAAAGAAGAGCAGAGAGTTCAGTGAAACCGACCAAAAGAAGGAAAGTGTGTGTACGAGTGTGGGAGAGAAAAAGAGATGAGGGCGGTCACAGCTCGCACACTAGGCTAATTATAGACTCAAAATGAAAACAGGGCACTTCTGAAAGAAGTGAGTGTGAGAGAGTGATGTGACTATGCAGCAAGTTTCAGAGATAATAAGGCCAAATCTGCAGATTACGACTTCGAAAGTATGAAACACTTAATAAACAGCAACAACAACAAAAAACAAAAACACCACCACCACAAAAATAAATAAATAAAAAATAAATAAATAAATAAATCAACAGTCACCATCTTAGTCACAGTCTTAGGAGGGAAATACCAAAAAGCAGCAATTAGGTCTGCATTAATCACTACTCAGTGCCAATAAGACACCTTTGAATGCTATTAGTAATCTTAAACAGCAAGACAGCCTCTTTTCCGGATATGGGAAAAAAAGCATCAGTTCAAGCTCAATTATATAAATATTTACAAATAAATATAATTGTACAGAGCTCTCCGATAAACCGCTGCCAAAAAGGTCAGCTGAGGTTTAACGAGGTATTTACGAGTAAAGGAAAACGAATGCGAAGAAAAACTAGAGTGGAATAAATGAAAGCCTACTAAACACCAGGTTAAAAACTGCCTCTTTTCCTCTCGTGTGTCCCTCTTCTCATTACCTGTGGGGTTTTTTTTGTTAGTGCTCCAGTCACCAAACGAGGATGTTTCCAGGAGACAAGAAGCAAAAACGGGAAAAAAGGAGTGGACTTGGTGTAAATTACGGTTTTAAAGCTCTTAATTAACCCGTAGAACTGCCTGCTCTGGCTTCTTTACGTCAGTGCGAGTTTCCGATCGAAGAAGGGCGGACGGCACCCTCACATCTAGGCTGACAAATACAAGGTTCAGACATGCGCGCAGCTACGTGACGCACGGCGTGTAGGGTTTTCAAGGAGCGGCCAACAAGCTGTGGGGGAGAGCGGTGCGTTCAAGTGCAAATGTAAAACTCCAGATCATATTTCGGGAATCATAAATGCATGTCAAAACCGCAAACCAGAGTTCTACAAAGAAAATGTATTACTGTATAAATCAAAAATACGATGGATGAGCAACCTACGCTCTGACCAAGTGCTGAACAAAGAAATAAAATGAAAATAAATAAATAATGTATAATTAATCGATTTCAAATTCCAATACAAAGTAAAAGTATCAATGCAATACAAGCCACAAATAAATACGAGTAAAACTAAAAAACAAAAATCTGAAATCAACACCTCAAACCGGGTCAATTTTTACAATTTAAAACTGATTCTTTCGTTTCATCCCTTGATTTTCGTCTTTTTTATGCTGGAATGACACATAAGTGAGGGTTAAGTGGCTTAAGAAAAAACAAAACAAAACAAAGAGTCCTCTGACAGTGGTCGGAAAAATCAGCCAGCGTGCAAAGACTTCGAAAGGCCTCCAGAAAACTTGAAGAATTATTGCTCAAGACCAATTTAAAAAACTGCTCCGTGGAAGCAAAATATAAAGAAATGAGGAATGACTCAAGAATTGTTCACAGCACTGTAAGTTGTCCTTTGTGTATTTTTGGACAAGTATTGTTGAAAAAGAGGTACTCAATTTGCATGTGATAGGTATTGATAATGGAGCTTTATTTAAACATCTTCTTGAGGACGTTCTTGTTTTTTTTAATGATATTTCTTAAATAATGTGAAACGAGGTTATGTTGAATCCAGGTCATTAGAAATGAAGTGAAACTACACTGTTTATGAACATAAAATGCTTCCGTTTTAAATTAATATTTTTATATTACTGACTAATTCGCTGAGTGTATTCAACATGTGAATAATCTGGACCTTGTTTTTTCTTCCAGGAGGTACAAGGGTGGAAAATCATACTGATATACTAATTATACTAATATACTGATAGGAAAAGCATGTTGTACATTTCCAGACCATATTCGCTACAATATAATGCAATTTATTGATTAAGCCCCAGCAATGCCCCCAGTAATCATGTCTAATTTATAAGAAACTCGCCCCCACCACCCCATCTGCCTTTGTGGAGCACATTAGTTCTCTGTCATGCTTTTTTTTTTATGCTGTATCGTATAGCCATATTCTTACTGTAATGAAATGGATTTCCATTTGAACTCTTTAGAGCTCCTTTAATGGGAAGGCACAGGCAATTCCAGCATCTCTTCCTGTTAAGACCCCAAACACAGTACTGAGTTAAGAATGCAACTGAAGCTCTTACTGTACCATCTCCATGTGACACGTATGGCAGTTCACTGGGATCGGTTTTTCACAACTGCTTTAGAGCCTTAAGACAAATGCAAATAGTTGCATCTGTAAATTAGATTACATCACATAAAGCAACTGAATTCTCTCTTTTGCATAAGGACAAAATCTTGCTTGGTGACTAATAATTATTTACTCTTATCAGACACTGTCAGATATTACTGGCCTTCATTTGAGCTCAAAGAAATCTCACTGAGATGCAGATCTGCAGATATTTAACACTTTTAAAGTCTCTTGTAGTTCTTGACTTTCTGTTACTTGTGACCTCATGGTTCTCAGCAAAGTATCCATTATGTGCTCATCTGAGGTTAGCCTTCATTTAAGCCTCATGTTAAGCTAAGTGCTGAAAAAAATAAATAAATAAAAATGCATACAGTATATTGCTCACATAAAGACTACTGCACACACACTTTACAGGCAAATGGTTCTTGGTTGAAGCTTTGACCACTAGGATCCATTAGTTGTGCATTACATGGTGAGTGTGAGACGATTGATCAATACAGTTTAGTGTGCGAGGTAATTTGAGCGAGGCAGAGAAGTCGCAGCTCGAAAAGCCTTCAGTCACACTGAAGATCCCTGGAAGACAGAGGAGGTTCTACAGATGGAGGTAAGAAAGACAAAATGCTCCCTATGCAAAACAGATTTTTCTTTAAATGTTGTCCTACAAGATCAGGATACAAATATGCTGTTATTAATGCATGCTTATAGTGTATTTAATGAAGAAAATCCAACAGACGGACAATTAACTTCTTTGTGTGGCGAGACAAAAGAACGGGAACTGATTCAAATTGTTTGTCTCAGGCCACAAAGGATGCTATGTCAGACCTGGAGAGCAGCATGATCACTATTATCCAAACTTTCCACCAATACTCGGGTCAGAAGTGCAATCTGAAGAAAGCAGACCTTAAAGAACTTATCAACAATGAGCTGAATAATTTCATAGTGGTAAGATATCTTCTGCAAAGCGGGTGTGTTTATGACGCATAATTAGAACAACAATAATAAGCATGCACCAATTTGTTGGCACGCAGCACAGTGTGTATTTAAATAAGAAAAAAACTGCACAGAATTTCACAAACATTATTGATGAATTTAAAATTTATACGAGCAAAGCATGTACAACTGACTAAGGTTGCTTGGGGCTGTAGTGGATTTTTATTTGCTTCCTTTTCAAGCGTTGACACGCTGCACAGCTGAGTCTCAGAGATATTAAAAATATATTAGATAACTAACAATTTTCCTTCTATTCCGGTGTAATTAAGATTTAACCCTAGTAGAGTTAGTGGTGATGCTACAGATTTATCAGTGTTATTAAATATACTGTCCATTTACTACTAATGATGAACTTTAATGCAATTTTCCTGCTAAACAGAAAATCAAGGAGAAGGACACACTGGATAAACTCTTCGCTGACCTCGACCAGAACGGAGATTTGGAGATCGACTTCAAAGAGTTCATTGCCCTCATCGCCATGGTCACCTCTGCTTGCAATGAACTGTTTATTCCAAAGCAACAGAAATAGTTTGCATGCACATGAATTACTCATTTAAAGAAAGTATGTTTTGTTTTTTGTGAGACTGGGAGACTCTTATTAGTCATGCAGTTTGATACTTTTTGTTAGTATGGAAATGTTTGCTGAATACACTTACCAGTCACTTTATTAGGTACACCTATTCAGCTGCTCATTAACACAAATATCTAATAAGCCAATCACAAGGCAGCAACTCAACAGATTTAAATATGTAGACATTGACCTTTTAAGTTCTGTCAGAGAAGAATGGCCAGATTGATTTGCGCTAACAGGAAGGCAGCAGTAACTCCCTCTTTACAACCAAAGCATAGCATCTCTCAAGGCACAAAATGAAACCTCAAACCTTGAAGCAGATAAACTACAGCAGCAGACGACTACTCCTATCAGCTGAGGCCACAATGGAAGACTGAAAAATGTTGCCTGATCTGATGAGAGTAGATTTCAACTGTGACATTTGGACGGTAGAGTCCGAATGTGATGTAAGCAAGATGAACTTTTAGATCTATGGATCCTGCAGTTCAGGCTGGTGGTGGTGAAATAGTGTGGGGGATATCTTTTGGCACAGTTTTGGCTATTTAGTACCAATTGGGTTTAAACACTACAGCTTACCAGGGTATTGTTTCCGAACCTGTCGATCCCTTTATGACTGCTGTGTACCCATCTCCTGATGGCTGCTTGTAGGAGGAAAACAAAATGTCATAAAGCGCAGATTGTCTCAGACTAGAATCTTGAACATGAGTTCAGTGTCCTCAAAAGGCCTCCACAGTCACCCGACCTCAATCCACCTTTGGGATGTGGTGGAACACAAAATTTGCATCATGGATGTGCAGCCAACAAATCTGCAGCAACTGTGTGGCACTATCATATCAAGATCTCTGAGGCATGTTTCCAGCACCTTGTTGAATCTGTTTCAAAGAATTAATGTAGTAATGAAGGCAAAAGAGGGTCCAAACGGACACCACCAATGTATACCTAATAAAATGGCTGGTGAGTTTCTAATATAGCATGTGTGGAATATGTATTTGAGAAACAAAAATATATAAACGTATGATACTTCCACATATTTGTCTGTCATTACTAAACATTTATGCTCATCTGACAGAATCGATAAGCTACAGCAGTACTGAGACATGTTTAACAGATGCTGCTTCACAACATGCCATCATTTTGAAACGACTGCTCTGAAGCAAGGACGTCTTTTTTTTTTGTTTTGATTACACACTCCTCTCTCCCCTTGTGAGGAGTCAAAAAGGTGAGGAAAGGAAACGAGGATACACAAACTGAGAAATAGGAGGAAAGGCCAAGCTGACTGGTTCCATCTTTTAGAAAGACAAATAACAGACGTGTGTGTACATGTAATGCAGTCCAGCTAAGAAAATTAACACCTATACTACTTGTTGAGTAGTATAGGCACAGCTGTACCTGACAGCCCAACATCTGTGGGTCTAAACTGCTGAAAGCTTTCTTTTCCTTTGTACGGTGCAGACTGACTCATACTGAACTGGCTGTTTTGATAGCAGCCAAACAGCGACCTCTTGTGGCCCAAATAGTTTTTTAAATGAGTTTCATTTATTTATTTATTTATTTTTTAAACCCAAGTTGCGCACCAGTCGTAGGACATCTTTCACAGCTCAAACAAATGCAGGATTTCAGAATCATGTTAACGATGGATTATTGTCCATGTGGAGATTCACCGCCTCAGATGGGTTTCCATAAACTCTAGGATCCTCTTCCACGAATCTTCTTGAGCAGCAGCGTGGGGTGCGGGGTGACCTCCCCACAGAGTGAATACTGCAGGGAAGAAAAACAAACAAACAAAAAAAAACAAAACAAAAAAAAACAACAAACTGCAAATTTATTTACCATTATATATTGTATTCTTAATAAAATACAACGAGAGGAAAACTTAAGCTCACATTTCTCTGGTTTGGCTCTCCATAGAGACACTCTTGCACACGGTGCGTAGGGTGGCTCGATCAGGTGACCGGCACCGGGATATGACAAGCGGGTAAACAGCTGGGATTTACCTGCAGACCTCAGGGCCTCCTCAGTCTGATGACCAGTGATCAGAGTAAACAATGAAACAGTGTGCAGTCAGTCCACACAGACAATATACAAAACTGCATTCAGGTGACTATAAATGACTGTTGTATTCTTAGAGTGTTTTAATACATTTCAGTAGACATCAAGAGTCTCCAAATAATATATACAGGACAACATAACATTTAAAATGTAATCTGTAATTGTAATTAAAGTAAAATAAGTTAATTTACCACATCTGCATTCTCTGTGCTTGCAGCACACAGATCGTCTTCACCCACTATGTACATGAGAGGACAGGTGATGTTCTTTACCTACAAAAAGAAAATAAGAGAAAACAAAACAAAAAAAAAAATCAATAATATAGAGCAGAGATTACTGAGCTCTATACACATGTGCTTCTCTATGCATGTGTGATGGGCAGAGAAGAACCTTCTGTTTGTTCTCAGGGGGCAGATTATCCGGCAGAGAGACATGTCTGAAACTCACACGGCCTCGATCATCGAGCTCCCAATGTTTCTGGTCACTTAAAGAGCAGAACAGGACAGAGATGGTACTGTTTGTTAACATCTACTCGTGAAAATCTTAAAAACAGCGATTACTATGTCAGCCGTGGAGTAGACGGAGGACCCTGAACTAGATAAAAGTCCAGGTTACAATTATGTTTTTGGACCACAATATACTTTTGTAAGGTACATCACCACACTGGAGTTTAAAGACTCAATATGATTGAAGTTAAGACTTTCAAGTAGAATTCATTAGGTTTTACGAGAGCATTTCATTAACTGTTGCAAAATCAAAACAAATTTACGAGAGAGGTAGCAAAAACCTGCAGCTAAAGTGCATCACAGAATTATTTCCATGGTTAAAAAAAAAAGAACTTCACAACACCTAACCAAGTCAAGATCACTCGACAGATACAGTCGTATCACCGTTAATGCGTGCAGTCAGCAGATGGCTTTTATGGGTCAAGATTATTCTGTACCAGAATGACTGGGAAAGAAAAGCATGGCAAGGAAAAGGAAAAAGGTTATGAAATTAAGCACAACATATCATCTGTAATTAAATGTTACCCAGGTCTGACACACTCCACACACCCAATAAAGAGTTTGTTGGGTGCTTGTTAGTTTGTTGCCACAGCAAAGCAAAATTAGTTTAACTGATTTCAAATGATGGTCAATAAATACCCCACAAATGTAGCAGAGTAATTTCCCTAATATGAGCCCTTTCCTAACATTTGAGACACAGCGCTGCTATCAAATTCAAACAGACTTCATATTTTTCTCAGTTTAGAGATTTTCTTTGCTCCATTGTGACTAAAGTAGGAGTTTATGAAATGTGCAAATCATTGCACCAATTGTTTTGGAATTGGGGCTGTATATTGCACTTAAAGCATACTGTAAACACATAATTTCACTGAAACTCAACATAACCTTGCCCCAATCAGGTTCACCATAAGTTACCACCATGATTTATCCAGATTAAAAGAGAGCCACAAAGTACACTATTAAAATCAGTCCTTATGTTTAAAATTTGTTAGACTGCCCATCTTAATGTGGGATTTTGTTAAAAATCCACTGGAGAGGTGTACAGAGGCCATGCTATGACAATAAAAAGCATCACTGTCCAGAAATCAAAACTAACATTAAAATAAGAAATATCTATAAGTACTCTGTACTTATAAGTGACACCAGAAGTGAACGGTTCAAATAGACTGGATAAATCATCATCATCATCTCAGAGTAGAATCTAAAGTAACCAGCTATTACCTCTCAATCGTTTTGGTCTTGCCATCTTCATCTAACAGCGGGCTTCCTACTGGCCCGTTAATACAAATCAAACATGATGGCTGGAAAGGGGAACAAATGAATGTTAACGTCATTCATAATTGCCTGTCTATCAGATTTGTATTTTTCATATGCAAATAACAATGTGATGATCATACGGCAGATTTCAAAACAGGTGAATTTGGGACGCACTTTAACACCAATCCTAGTGGCGATGCGAAGGGTCAGACAGACTCCAAAGGAGAGGCCAATGACCCCAATTCTCTCTGCATCGACCTGACAGTGATCTTGAAGTAGCTGGAAGGCTGACTGACCAAACAAAACATTTTAAGAGAGTGACAAAAACATTACAAACAAATACAAGGCTGTTAGGTTAAATCCAGTGCTTATACACTGAAACTCGGACAAAGTTATCCTACTTTGAAATACAAATCGCCAACACTCATTATGTCTGGTGGTCCAGGTAAGTCTTTGTGCCCCATGTAGGCAACAGAAAGACTCGCGAATCCCCTGGAGGCAAAAAGTGCAGAGCGGTACTCCGACTGTCCTCCACCCATTCCCCACAGATCCAGCATAGCAGGAAAAGGGCCCGGGCCTGCAGGAAATCAGCATGTGAAGTTCAGTGACTGCTGACTAAGGCACTGCCAATAAATGCCACTTCAGTGAACGCTCACCAGGGGGTAAGAATAATGTTCCTACAATTTTGTTCTGACGAATCTCTATTCTCCTCACTCCTGGCGCCATGTACCAGCGCTCAACGGTTACAGCTGCCAGCTCAGTGCTCTGCCCCTCACTGGGTGAAGTGTGGCCCTCCAGTAAGGAGATGTTCACTATGTATGGCGTCTCCACGTTTCTTTTCCTAAGCCTGTGATCAGCATTTACATTTACACAGAGAAAGAAGCAGTCAGTGAAGCCAGAAATGTAGAATGAATGAAAGAATCCTTTAGCTGTATTTTTAAGTGCGCAACATAAGAGGCAGCTGGATTTGAAACCTGCCTCAAACCTTCTCTGCTTCTGAGTGCAGGCTCCAAAGCCCAGAAGAGTCCCATCGGCTCACAGCCTAAATAAGAACCTCCAACTGAATGATCGCTGGTCACTATTCAGGTAAGAACAGAGACAAAAATAAAATGAAACACTGCCTGCATAAAAGCCTGGTTAATATCTCTTCACACAATCTTTACTGTCTCCTTGTTAAAACGGAGTCTGATTATTTTCTTTCTACAATATAAAGTGCCTTGAAGCTACTGTTGATAAGAAATGGCGTGCACGATATAAATAAAATAAAATTGAACTGAAGTGAATTAATATAACATGACTGCCACAGGATGTCTCCACAGTAAACACATTAAATATTAACCTGTGACTTTTATCAATAATTACTTGCAGCTTGCAGATTAAAATGACAAACACTTTGTTCAATTTAATTTCAGCATGTTTGTTTTTTGCTCCATTTTGTTTTTAAATACAATAAAAAAGTCAAACCCTGCCACTGGCACAGTGAGCATCTCAACATTATTGCCCTGCTTATATGTCCCACATGCCAGCTGCTTTTATTTATGTGGACATCTATATATTACAGAAACTGTCTACTATGTCACCCAACAGCACTTAAGAGTATTTCACTCACAGTTGATGCTCCTGCTCGCATTTGTTGTATAATGAGCAAACGCCTCCCACAGATCTCCCTCCTCACTGTGCATTTGTGCGCGTACTGTGACAGGATAATTTTGAGACAGGAAACGCCCTTTAATGCTGATCTGTTCATCTATGAGCGCACGAACAGGAGCGGCTGACAGCAAAGGGCTTTGTCTAAAGCTGCTCTTCCTCCGAACTTCACCTGTTAAAAAACAAACAAACATATATATACACACACATACAAATAAAACCGAGAACTTCTGATACAGACACTCTTCAGGCATGTACAGATAAAAAAAATGATACTGATCATCTTTGATATTTAAAAAAAAAAAGAGAGACCCTCAAATATTATTCTTACCAACAGCACGCTGAAGCCCGGGCAGTTTCCCACGCACACTGATGCACGACATCATCCTCTTTTCTATGAGCTGCTATATTCTTGTCACACTCATATGTGCCCTAAACATTATGGTCTTTCTTGACACTATAAACACAAAGTAAATATCAAATACTAAAACACTTAAAATCAAAGTAAAGGGTTAAATATCAATAACTACAACTAATCCAAGGTTGGACAGCATGCTCTGCTGTCAGGTTCTGTCTAAGACTCTTGTGTTAGAGATTAACCTTAGACCTTTGTCCTTTTCACATGTGTACTGTATTTTTTTTTTAAACAAAGAACTGCAAAGCTTTGTAACTTGGATTTCTTTTAAGTCTGCCTTACTAATGTGAATTAATAATGCTGTTACAATTACTGTTTAACTTGAGTTCTGAATTCATCATCAGAATCATCCACCATACGTTCAGGTTTCACCCACATGTGACTATTTCCCGTGAGCGTCAAGCTAGTCTTGATCCACCCATCACTTCTATACATTTTCTAAGGAAAACTGGGAAATAGGTGCAGTGATTTAATAAAACGTGCAAACTTACACAGAAATATGAAGCAAAAGCTGAGTTTATACCAATCTAACGAGCGTGAACGTCAATATTCTCCAACACAGTCATTTCTTGAAGTAGTCTTCAGGAATAGTTCTCCAGGCTTCTTGAAGGACATGCAAAGCTCCTCTTTGGATATTGGCTGCCTTTGGAGGCTAATCCATGACTGCTACATTGTGTTTTCTTTCCAGGTGTGTTTTTACTGAACTGGCAGTGTGTTTGTGATCACTGCTGAAAAATGTAGCTGTTGCCAATCACATGCTTTCTGACTGGCTAAGGCTGACAGCACATTTCGACATTCATAATTCCTTCAATTTTAACAAGTTCTCCCCACCCCTTCCTGAAATTCATCCCTAAACCACGACATAGTCCCCAGCTTGTTTTACAGATGACTGCAGACACTCGCTGTTGTACCGCTCTCTTGACCTCCTCTAACAATTTGAACCAAAATTTAAAAGCTGGATTGAAATAAAATATAAAACGTGGGCTGGCTCGAGATTTTTGCACAGTACTGTATCTTAACCTGATAACGCCATACTCAGATGTGTTAATGGAAGCAGATTTTTTTTTTTTAAATGAATCGTATAAAACTGAATCCAATTTCACTGAGTATAGAGTACATGTGCACAATATTAAGGTACAAAGCCTCAATTTTCACCAGGGGGGAAAAATACTAAATTATAATTTTTCGCTGTGTTTAATAATTATTTTAGCATAAAGTATGAATCTGCAAAAAGAAAAAAAAGGAAAATAAAATGACATAATTACCTCTGAAAGGTATTTGGAAAAGTAAAACTGGAGCAATAAGCCTGGAAACCGTCAATAAAAGTGAAAAGCTTTCGCAAGGTGAAAAGTGGATGTTCAGGTGGTCGGTTGCAGCTGCACAAACGCACGTCCCATATCCCCCAACTGCAAATCTTTAACTTGTGAACCCTTTGCCCGAGCAGAGGAACCGTTTCACATACAGATTAACTCGATATACTATATATATATTAGGGGTGCAACGATACACAAAATT